CTTAGTCCACTAGCTATCTTGCTGGCCCTATAGAAAACATTTCTTGAGAGGCAGATCTTCTGGAAATATAATCCTTCAGTTTTTGTTTACCCAAGAAATAATTACTTCTCCTTCATGTTTGTAAGGTCATTTAACTGAATTCAGAATTCCAGGTTGTTATTTTTGTTTCAATATCTTAAATGTTATATTATATTCCCTCCTTGCCTGCATGGCTTCTGTTTTTGTTTTTTGTTTTTTGTTTTTTTTTTTCCGTGCAGGGTGTCACTATACAGCTTGGACTTGTACTGATCCTCTTGTTTTCTGCCTTCCTAGTGCTGGGATTACAGGCATGCGCCACCACGCCCGGACTCCATTGCCAGCTCAGTGTGCTCGGGGGTGGGGCCGGCGTGGCACATGGTGCCAGGGATTGAATCCTGGCCCCTGGGTCCAGGCTCTTTGCTGGACTCTCTGGGTCTCTGGCATGAGGGCAGATCTCTTGTGCTCTTCTGCATTTGACTTGCTGGTGGAACATTATAAAATAATCCTATATGTCATGTGTCCTGTGTTGTTTATTTCCTTGCAAAACTACTGTAGTAGTGTATTTGTGTGTATGATATGCCTTGTGATCTCTGATTTCCTTGGACCCGTGATCGTGTTTGTCAATAATTTTGCAAATTCTGAAAAGAATGTCTCCAGTTCTTTTTTTCAGAGGTGTTGTATCTCTTAGGTCTACTTTGCAGTTTTCTGTGAGGAGAACTTCAACGTCTTTCATTGGCTTTACTAATATTTGCAATCTGAGCAACTGCGTTGAAGACAGCCACGTGCAACACAGCAACCATTGTTGAGGACTTTCATCTTATTGTTTATGTGCATCGTTTCTAATATCTTATCTATTACTTTTAAACTCTCTTTAAAATAAATTTTAAAAATAAGAAGGACTAGGAAAAATTAAGGTTGACTGAAGGGAAGAGTTAATGTTTGGTTGTCTGATCAATCTTACATGCCTCTATCTGGCAATCCAAGTAACAATTTTGATCATCACAATATGCAGCTACAAGAAAATTATAATAAAAAATAATAAAAAGAAAAATTAAAAAAGAAAAACAGTATGCAATACAACCATTGTTAATTTTCTCTTCTTGTTTTGAAATTCTGTACTATTTTTATTATTTTATGTTGCTCTGTGTCTTTGTTCTTGTTATTTCTTTCTGTTTCTCCTTCTTTAAAATAAAGAGATTCCATAAAGAGTTCATGATTTTTGATTGAATTTTTAAAATTTTGTTTCCTAGTTTTTATTGTAATCACAGAAAATCAAAATATTCTTGTGGCTAACTCTGTGCCCTGCAGCCTTGCTGCGTCGGACGTTTGAATTTGTCAGCTTGTTACAGCAGCGTTTCGTGAGGGCTCTTGAGCTAACCCGTCACTGTCTGTGAGTGTGCGCAGCCCTATTCACATTGAGGATGGTATCTCAACCGTCTCATTATAAAAGGAGAAAAGGCCTCAGTCCACCAGTGGGAAGGTTTCAGGAGCCCTCTGCTCCTGTGTGTTGTCCCAAACTCTCTGACCTGCTGGCCAAGACCGTACGTGTGTAGGAGAGGCATCTCCAAGGCCCGGCGTCCTCGAGGTCGCCTCGTCCCAGGGCGAGGGCCGGCACGCCCAGGCCACGGTGAGCCTGGCTCCTGACCGCAGAGCAGGCCCTGAAGGCCGCAGAGGCTGGGAGTCCGCACAGACGCGGCTTTCCTGGTCTCCTTTGTTCTCGGACTGCCTCCACATGACGCTGTGACGGACTCAGCACTTCTGAGATGAGTGGCTAGAATAGTCCCTCAGAAGGTGTCGCTTGGCGTCTGTCTGGTTTCTGAAATGCTCCTTCTGCCTTTCCTTCCTTTGGGCTAAGGTACTGTCCCTTCCTAACATGCACGCCAAAATTAGATTGGAGTAATAAATCCTTGTATTGATTAATTAGCTGGAAGTTTTGGACAGGGATAGTGACAACTGGCTTTGTCAGTGGTTATCACCTCCAGGTGAATTCTTTTCTTTAGATCACAAGATGGATTTAGAGTTCAGTGATTTAATATCAATACAACAATTTAATTATACCTATAACATCAGCTTCTTAACTTTATTATTTTTAATTGCTATATTTAAATGTATTTGTTTGTTCCAGGGTCTCACTGTGCAGCTTGGACTCATGGTGATCCTCCTACTTTCAGCCTCTCCAGCACTGGGATTACAGGTGTGTGCCACTACGCCTGGACTCTGGCTAGATCAGATGGTGTGGCCTGTGGTACCAGGGATCGAACTACAGTCCCTGCGCTTGGCTAAGTAGGCTCCTTAGTGCACTGAGCTATCTCGCCGGCCCTTAACTTTAAGTATTATTTGCGTGCGTATATTTTTCAATCTGCTTTTCTAAGGGTGTGTGGTTAGTTACCCAGCTTAGGAAATCCCAAAAACAGAGCATTCCTGCTTCTTTATGTTGGATTCAAGGCACTTCTATCCTGATTAAGGGCTGCAAATGGTAACTTACCAGAGAGCTCTTAAGTTAGACAGACCTCCTCCTGAATCTTGCCTTTTCAATATTGATCTTTTGGAAGTAATTTAGCCTTTCTAGGCCTTCGTTTCTCCATCTGGAAAATACAGGTAGTAATAGCTCATTTGAGTGCCAGAGCTCCTCAGGCTTGATGGTAATGACCTTGTGGACTAGATAATTCTTCACTGTGGTGGGAAGCTTAGGTGTTCAGCAGCATTCTCCGTCTCTATCCTCTGAATACCGGAAGGAACTCTCCTCTCTTAGTTGTGACCACCGAAAGTATTTCTGGGCACTGCCATTGCCCTCAAGAGGCAAAGCCATGCAGGTGGAGGATGCTGGCAGACACACACAGTCACCTGTGCACCTCTTCACTCAGTGTCGGGCACGGTGAGGCCACTTGCTTTTGTTAATAGTGACGCTGGACTTCTTTCCACACAGGCATTGCTTCTTCTTGAGGAGAACCTTTGCGATCAGGACTTCGGGAGAAGGGATTTCCCGGTTGGGAACAAGCAATGGATCAGCTCCTCAGCTGTTCGTAGTTGTCCAAATGGGCTGAAGCTAGAAGCAATCCTGCTGATATTTTAAGGTTGCTTTGAATCCTGTAGTTTCCAAGGACTCATTTGCAAATTTGCAAGCTGAGGAAGAAATGACATATATTTGATATCTGTGATTTTATTTGTGAGAGAAGGTTCTGATTTTTTTTTAAACTGGGAAACAGACACATGTTTAAAATTGAGGTGTTGAAAACAGCCAGCGGATTTGGGATAGACTGTGGGGAAAACCAAACCCACACAAGACCACAGATTACTAACTGTGGCCCACACAGGACCACAGAAAGTAGTCCAGCTTAGAAAGATTTCAGAGCTCCTGGTCGGAATGCAGTCCCCAGGAAGTGAGGAATGTGAATGACAGCGTCCACTGATGAGCACTGGTCCTGCCTTCCAGTCTAGGCGGTGGAAGAAAGAGGCCTAGGGAGCCACTGGAGAGTGACTGAATGGAAGGTGCCCTGCAAAACAGAGGCGTGTGCAGTGCCACTGTGGTTCTGAGGCTGGGTTCTGGGCCTGGGGAAGCTGGACCGGACTGCCTCCAAGTGGGCTCCGGGCCTGCACTGGCCACTTGGTCATCAAGTGGAGGTGTTGCTTGGGGTTCGTCTGTCATATTTTCCCTCACATGAGCAGACCTGGGCTTTGATTTAGAAAATATGACTGCTGTGATGTTAAAATAGAAGTTATTTTGCAGCAAAAGCCCTGTGCAGTGGAGACTTGGTTCTAACCAGGGACTGTTTTTCATAAGCTCTCTTGGGGACGCCCATGGGTACTCTTGCTGATAAGCTCCACGTGAGTCTCAGAGTGAGACACATTAATAACTTGGAAGGTCTTTGTGTATTTTAGTGGCCACTGGGTGCTGGATTCAGCTAGCAGAAACTTTTAATAAAAATGACATCATGCTGTCAGTACATGGTTTGGCCCTAAAACACATAGCTAAGCGCACTGCTAGGTGATTCTGTCACTGTGTGAACATTCCAGCGTGTGCCCCAAGGTGGCACAGTTCATCCCTCCACCCTTGGTCTCTTGGCCAGTCAAGGGTTGGTGGACTCAAGATGGATGAAGCTACTGCCAGCGTCACCCAGGGTGTTTGGTCTTTTATAATCAACGTTTTTAAATAAGTAGGACTATACTCTAAAATAATGGTAAAAATGTACAGTAAATACATGAAGAACCAACACAGTAATTGTTGCTATTTTCGTGTGTTACACAGTATTGTATGCGTGTTTATCTGACAGTCTGTGTAGTAGGCTCGTTTACACCAGTGTCACACAAGCACGTGAGCAGTGCTCCGTGTTTTGATCTTGCAGTGGCTATCGCATCACTAGGGGTAGTAGCTTTTCATCTCTATAATAATCTCATGGGGCATTCTTGGCTACGAGGTCCACCACACTCTAGAGTCCACATGCCTCTGCTCAGTACTGAAAGTAAGAAAACCGAGTCTCCAAAGGGCCAGTGGTGATGCTCTCTGTACGTGGTGAACCCAAGCTCCGGTCAGTGTGACTTCAAGATCCATGTTTTCTTTTGCATCCTCTGTTTTTTCCCCAAGTCTAAGCAAAGGCCATGCCAATGTCTCCTTAAGTGAGGAAGCCCAGCTACAGGATTTCACCCAAGGAGCAACGGCTCCATGGGTAACAGGTGGGACTGCACCTTGTCCATGCACTCAGCGTTTTTCACATTTTTCCTCTCAGAGCACCTCCAGCTTATATTTCACATTTAACCTCCCTAACGAGTCCCAATTGCCCTTCCTTGAGTATAACCTTGATGCACCGGTAACTCGTCTCTACAAAACCTGTCTGATTGAAGCAAGGCAGGTGGTCCTGCACTCTGCATTTTAGTTAGGCAGGGACACTTAATGGCCAGAGAGAAGTGGAACCTTCCCCTTCCCCTCCAGACCTTCCCTTCCCAAGCCCAGGCCCATTTGGAGGCAGGCTTTCATCACAGATGCCCTAGGATTCTCCAGCCCCTTCAAATATGCCCGGAATCTTCATGGTCAAGTGTCTGCTATAACCTAGAGATATAAGGCAAAAAGATATTCCTAAGGTTCACTTGCAGAAGGGCCAGCCAGATAGCTCAGCGGACTAAAGAGCCCGCTTAGGCAGAGCACAGCAGCTGGGACTCGATCCCCAGTGTGTCGTGCTGAGAATGAGCATGGTGGTGCGCACCTGTAATCCCAGCACTTGGGTGGCTAAAAGCAGGAGGATCACTATGAGTCTGATCTGTGGAGTGAGACCCTGTAGACCCTGTACTAAATACATTAAAAAAAAAAGAAGTTCACAGCAAAGGTAAACAAGCCAAGTAAGCATCGGAATTTGTCTGGCCTCACTTCCAGGGGCTGAAGGGCTTCTTGGACAAAAGAAGGCTCAGGTAGAAGTTAGCTCACCCAGAGTAGGTAAGCCTGAAGTAGCTAAGTAACAAGGGGCCCTCTCCCACCACTCCATGCTTTCAAGCTCTTGTGTTTAGGCCCTGTGCAGCCCGTCCAAGGAGCAACTAAGCCATGCCTGCTTGCTTGCACTTGGGGCCAGATCCCATTTGTTCCTGCCATGCCTTTGCTGAGCACACCGTTGGCCCCCATGCCAGCCACACTGTCCTGGTGACTTTGCTTCTAAGGAAGTCTGGCCCTTGTCGCCAGAGCTGAAATCGATCCCTTGCTCCTTGCTGTTGATCTGGCTGGTTTATACACAGCATGCAACCTTACAAATCATTGCCCAGCATCGTCCTTGGTGCTGTCAAACCTGCTTATCTGACTACGAGGGTTGGAGGAGGCCGGTCATAAAATTAAATGAAATTACTGCAGGAACTAGGGTGGTAGTGACAATGAGCTGGAATTATGACCCAGAGAATGACAAGGGAGGTTTATGGTGCCCAATGCCTAGCTACGAAGTCATTAGTCAAAAGCCTCCTATTTTCCCTGGTGTCTGGGATGAATATCATCCTTTGCTGGCCTTAGCAGCACTGGCATCCTCTTCTCACTGTTATTTTTGCAGTACTGGGGATTGAACTCAGTACCTTGAGTTTGCCAGGCAGGCGCTTATGTCACTGAGCTATCTCCCTGGCCCTTCACACAGTTCTTTGCGGCTTATAAGAATTGATATGTTGGAAAAAGTCTTACATCCTGCCAGCTCCACCCCTTCAGCTTACCGATGGCCTAATGCCCAGAGAGGTGTTGGGCTCCTCACAGTTAGAGCTTGTTACTGCCAAACCAATACTACAACTTAGGTCCCTTGGCTGGGTCTAGTGGCCCCCTTCATATGTTATCATTTTATTTATTTATTTATTTAGTATTGTTTAGTAAGGGTCTACAGGGCCTACAGGGTCTCACAACGTAGATCGGGCTAGTAGCAATCTTCCTGTTTTCGGCCTCCCAACTGCTGGGATTGCAGGCACGCGCCACCACACCAGTTTCAGGTGCCCTCTCAGCAAGCCCAGGGGTGTGTGGATCAAACCCCAGCTTCGGCGTCTGCCTGAGCAGGTCCTTTAATCCGCTGAGCTATTTGACCTGCTCCTTATACTATCATTTTGGGACAATTTCCAAGATATGAAAATGGATTTCCACATCATTTCAAATTGTCATTTTAATGGGCAAAAGCGGGTGATGGAACGAGCCGCTAGTGAAGAAGTTTTCATAATTCTCCCTGCGCCTCCTCCCAGATAAGGTAGCCATCCTGCGCACGACTCCCAGCTCGGTCGGGTCCAGATGTTCTACTCTGCATAGTCACATTCTAAAGCAGTAAACACATTTTCTGCTGGCCTCAGTTTTTGGCTGGATCTCAGGGACATGCAACAAGCCTGTGAAAATATCTACCTCAGCGCGTTCAGAGTCTCCTCAGGAAATGGCACGTAGGAACGTTGTCTCCAGAGCAGAGGAGCGCATTGAATCCTGGGAAGGGGCCCAGAAATGTCAAGCAGACAGAGATGTCAGTACCTGGGGCAACAGAGGGAACGTCCAGGTGGAGCCAGGGCCTGGGCAGCAGCGCTTTCTGGGCCTTAGGAAAGGGACCATGCCTCATCTGCTACGGCTTCTTTTTCACAGCTTCTTTTTCTCTGCTCATCCTGAATCTGTGTGCTTCCCATAGCTTTGAGCTTGTTCAGAGTTTGAATTTGTCTTACTACACAACACACATGATATAGCTTTACTTTAGGCAATCAGTAATGATAAGGTAGGGCAAGGTATAACCAATCCGTGACCACTAAACACTCTCCTTCTGTAACAAAGCCTGTGTCTTGGAGCCCCAGAGCCCAGGGCCTGATGCTTGGTGAATCAATCCCTATGGAGCCCATCGACATTACGTACATCTGCCTCCAAATCCTGGGTGACATTTCAGGTTCCTGTTTGCTGCTGTAGTTCTGGGCAGTGCTTTAACCTTAGAGACTACATCTACAGAGTCAAGGCATAAAAGCTGGCTCTATACGATCCTTGTGAGCGCCACAGGAAGACTGTGTGTACAAAGTTGTCTAAGTATCCACAGGAGTTTGGTTCCAGGACCCCAAAATCAAGTTTCTAGGATACCAAAATCTGAGGATGCTCAAGGTCCTGTTGCAAAACAGCATAGTATTTACATATAATCTAGTTACTTCTTCCGTATTCCTCAAGTCATCTCCAGACAGGTTATAATACGTAATACAATGTAAATTCCATGCAAATCATCATTATAATATGTAATACAATGCAAATTCTATGCAAACTACATTATAATATGTAATACAATGTAAATTATATGCAAATCACTGTTATACACTATTGTTTAGGGAATAAAACAAGGAAAATGTCTGTACTGAACATGTATAGACTCCATTTAAAAAAATACGCTTGTAGTCCGTGCTGTTTGAATCCAGAATGCAAAACCTGTAGGTACTGCTGGCTGAGTGCCTGGCTTCTAAATTCTGAGGGTGTCACCCCTGTGTCCTCCACGAACACCCTCAGGGCAAGCTGCTGCCCTTCCACACACCTTGCTGGTGCTTTGCACAACTGACAATCGCCAGCAATCAGCCCGTGCACGGGGTGGCTGACGAGGGTCCGCTGGGGCTGGGCCTGGAGTCAGGCCTGTCGCGGGCGGCGGAGTTGCTCCTGCCTCTGCCTGTGGGTGAGAACACTGGCTAGGCATCTGGTGGCCCGGCGTCTCCTCACAGGCAAGGGGGCACTACCTGCTCTCTGCTCCTGGCCTTGGTGACCTTGGCATAAGCAAAGAGAGTTTCTGTGGAAGAGGAGGTCAGTGAAGCGGAAAACTTGGACAACCGTCAGTTAGTTCTGAAAAGTGTTCAGCTTTTCAGAAAATAAGGAACTACGAACAAAATCCAAAAAGAAAAGTTGAAATATTTCAGAAAGCCTGTAAGATTATCATGTCTCCACCATGCAGTCATGACTCTGGAAACTTCTGTGCATCTAGGGGCGCCACAGCTGGGGCCGGCGTTCTTCAAAATGACCTCGCGTTGTAGTAGGAACACTGAGCCGTGCGGGAGAGCTGCACCCGTTCCGCCTCCCACCTGTGGGAGGCACTGCCTCAGAACTCCTCGGAGCTTCAGCCTCCACAAATGTGAATGAGGGTACTTCTCCCTTATCCATATATCTGAGGGATTTTCCTTTGTCAATATGTTATCTACCTTATTCATTTTAATGGCCATGTAATATATTCCCAAGTATTGATGTATCATAATTTATTTAACAGTTCTCACATTGAAGGTTGCTTCTCATTTTTTTCTGTCCAAAACGGTGCTGCTGAGAAGTACCTTGTCCATAAATTCATGAAAAGCTTGAGAAGCATTTTTATGGAATAGATTTGAAGTAATTGAACTACTGATTAAGTGACAAGAGCATTTATATTTTCATAGTTTCTGCAAATTGTCTCCCCAAAGTGCGTACCTGATTTACACTCCGTCTACCTATGTAGTTCAATTCCTCATAGCATTGCGAGTTATATATTATCTTATCTATTTGGAAGACAAGGACCTGGAGACATGTTAAGTAACTTTCTCAATGTCGCACAGGTAAACCAAGGCAGATTTGCCTAAGGCAAGCTTGCTTTCACTCACTCTATGTCAGACAGCTTCTCTTAGCATCCATCAATTTTGTGGTTCAGGGCTGGCGAGATAGCTGAGCAGACTAAGCTCCTGCTTAGGCAAGTGCATGGACAAGGTTTGATCTCTGGCACCACATGCCACACCAGCTGCACCCCGGGGCGTGCTGAGCCAGAGACTGAGGCCAGGTATGGTAGTTCATGCCAGTAATCTCAGCACTGGGGAGGCTGACAACTGGAGGGCCACTAGGAATCTGAGCTGCGTAGTGAGACTGTTCCAAATACATAAATGAAAAAAAAAAAAAAAGACAGAATTTTGTGGTCCAGGAAGTTAGGCTTCAGTCATGGAGGCTGGAGAGAGGTGGGCAGAGATCCTGCAGAAAAAAGGGAATAAAAAATAATAAAAAACTACAGAGAATAAAAAAATTTCAAGAAAACAAGATAATAGGAATTCAACAATGATTGTTGAATTGCATATTGCTGTCTTCAAAGTAGTTGTTCATACTACCAGATATCAGCATGCAAAATTGGTCAAAAAAGCATTACCTGTTGCTTTCAATAAACCAACAAAAATTAGTAGTACAATGTCTTAGTTATCATATATATAACTTGCTTAGTTATCATATATATAAATTGCTTGAATCACATGTTGGCTCCATAACAAATGATATTGCAGAATATGGGTGGTATAAAACAACAACACAATAAATAAAAATACCACCCAGCATCATTTAATAAACACATTATCATAAACACATAATCTTTGCACCTCCCACAAATATTTGTCCTTGTTTTCATTTTTCTCCTTCCCAAGACTTAACCACTATACTGAATTATTTATTTATTTATTTATGTATTTATCTATTTATTTGTGTATTTATTTTTGGTACTGGGGATCAAACTCATGACCTTGCGCTTGCCAGGCAGGCGCTGTGCTACTGAGATCTATCCCCGGCTACACTGAATTTTTGTTTATAATTTTCTTGCATTTTCCATA